TTTAGAAAAGATGCAATTTTCGTAGCACGTATTGGTGTTTTATTTCAATGAATGTAACTTGACATTTCTAATCAGACATTATTTGAAGAAAATTATCCATGAAAAACCATTTTTTTATGAAAATTGAAGTTACTATTTTCAATACCATACCTAAATGAGTATGTTTACAAATAATGTCACGTTAGATTTAGATAACCTATGGTAGTGTTAATTGTTCTACTTAAGTTGTTTTTTCATAAATAATCATAACTTTTAGCCCCATTTAAAAATCTGTTTTCTGTAATTAGTATTATTTTTTATAATACTCGGGACTTATTTGGTCATCTTGAAATAATAAATTATTCCATTCAGAATGCGTAAACAATTAAAAAACAGAGGCAGTAAACTTTATAAACAAATTAATTTGAATTCGAATTCTTTGTTTGCATAAATTAAATACCAATAAATAAGAAGTTTTTTGCCACTGTTTTTACCAATAAATAAGAAGTTTTGGGTTGCCAATAACAACTTATCGAATTTGTTTTAAATTATTGTTTTTTTTTTTTTTTTACGAGTTTGTTTGTTCTATGCCTTAGTTGCATTGAGCAGTTTATAAACTATGGTATAAACTGCAAAATGCTCACCAACTATTAAAGAAATGCCATTATTTGAAAAAGATATGTTAAACCTTGTAAATAATAAAATTTTGAAAAATCTGCAACTCATTTCAAGAAAGAATATCAAAGGATATAAAATCTCTTCGCGTATCGCCCATAACACTAATCCAAACCAACAAATCATCTAATATGTATCTAAAGATAAATACAACCACCTTCTAATGAATGCCATAACATCCGCATATAAAAAAGCTGACCATAATCTAAACCATAAAATAAATAAAGAAAATAAAGAAATTTTAACCAACCAGGATGTGTTCAACAAAATTGAGTTAAATGGTACTTCTAATTGTTTCATCACTCTTAAAGACCACAAATAAAACTTTTTAAATAACCCCACCGTCCGCCTGTTAAACCCAGCAAAAAATGAAGTAGGACGAATTTCCAGAATTGTAATCTCAAAAATCAAAATCAAATGCTGCATTGAGAAAAAAGCTCTCCTTAAACCAATGGCAAAGCTCACAAGATGTTTTACATTGGTTTCAAGGTATTAATGAAAAACACCTCTACAAATTTTTAATTTTTGATATAACTGCCTTTTACCCATCGATTAATGTAAAACTACTTAGCGATGCAATAGAGTTTGCTGGTCAGCACCTAGTTAAAAATTAAGAAAAGGAAATTTATTGTACAGGCGAGAAAATCTTTCATCTTTACCAATAGCGATTCTTGGATAAAAAAAAAGCGGAGAAGTATTTGATGTAACTATGGGTGCTTATGATGGTGCAGAAGTATGCAAATTGGTGGGAATTTTTATGTTGCACCAACTATCTCAATATTACAAAGGAAGGAATTAGGTTTATATCAGGACAACGGTCCTTAAAAATTGTAGTGGCCAACAAATGGAAAAAATAAAGAGGCATTTTGTAAATATTTTAAAAATGCAATGGTCTCCATTTATCTACCAGCTGTAATGTTAAAATTGTCAATTACATCGACTTAACACTAAATCTTAGCAACAGTTCCTTCCAACCTTACTCAAAGCCTATATAATTATATAAGTGTATATAGTTATATACACGCCAACTCTAACCACCCTCTGTGCATATTACAAAGTCTACCGCAAACAATTGAACTAAGATTGTCTACTGCATCTTCAAACAAAAAAATTTCTGAAAAAGCTGTTTTTCCTTATCAGGATGCATTGTTAAAATAGGGTTTCTCATCCAAGCACAAATATCAGTCAAATATAGAACCCATTCAAAACAAAAATCACAAATGGAACATTATTTGGTATAATCCCCCATATAATAAAAATATTGCAACAAAGATAGATAATCTTTTTTTTTAAATAATTGATGCAAACTTTCCTGTTAGTCATTTATTACACAAGATTTTTAACAGAAACACCATTAAAATTAGCTACTCGTGTATGCCAAACGTCTGTCATTAATTCGCATAATCAAAATATTTTATACAATCATAAAAAAACAGCAATAAAAACCTGCAACTGCATCAATAAATCTACCTGCATTAAGAACCAGTGTCTAAGTAAGAACATTGTGTGTCAAGCTACTGTTTCATCCAATAAACAAGATTACGAAAAAAAAGTTTATATTGGAATAGGTGAGACCCCTTTCAGGTTAAAGTATATCTAAAGAAATTTGGAAACTTAAGGAAGAAAACTTTTAGTTTGTTACTAAGTGGAAAAATATCGAGCGCTGCCAAACATATAATCCTTCGTCCAAAATTTGCAACCTTTGTCTTAATGGAATGTTTTATATTTTGACGCATACAGAGGGAAATCTGTTAAACAAAAGGAACGAGTTGGTTTCATATTGTAGGCATAAAAATAAGTTCCTTCTTTCATTTTATGATACTAGCGATTAGCTGATTTATATACAATTTTCTTTGACGTTTTCTTGTTTTGTCTCTATAGAGACGTCAGATGTCGCTCCACTGTATTTTGTAATTTAATTAACGGTTTTTTGTTTGTTTTTTATATAGTACATGGCTGTCCCATAAAAAGTTGTTTTTTCTCTATATAATTAAATATATATATATATATATATATATATATATATATATATATATATATATATATATATATATATATATATATATATATATATATATATATATATATATAGGCTTTGGCAGGAATGGCTATAACCCGCGTCCGCCTCCACACCCGTGCAAATCAGTTAACATGGGCAAAATAAAGCCCGTGCAAAATATAAATTTTTGGTAAAAATAAAGTTGAATATTTTTAAGTTTCTATTTAGTTATTCTTTTAAAAACATCTCAAATGATATAATTTTGTAAAACTGTTTGTTTTACTAGTTAAAAAACAAAACTAACATTCAGGATATGCTAAAAAAATTATAAAAAAAAATAATTTTTGAATTTTCTGATGTAAAAATAAAAAATTAAAATCTAACAAGTTATTTTAAACAGGTATAACAGTTCCATATTATTCTGTGTTATGTTAAAAGATAAATGATTAGTGTTGCAAAAGAATTTAACATAATAGTCCGGGTTTTCAATATTCTTTAGATATTTTTAAACTTATACAATAAGAACTGTTAGTTAATAAAGATTATTTTTTGTATAATCACACATTTTCTTTAGATAATAAAGACAATTTTTTTTTTTTTTTTTTGTATAATCACACATTTTGCTTAACTGATTGACAAACCAGTTTGTCATACCTTAAAGTTGTTCAAAGTAGTGTATATATACCAGAATCTTAAAAAATATATTTTTACTAAGTCTCTTGGAAATTAAAAATTAGATTATCTCAAATTTCAACTTACATATCACATCAACATGACATATATCTTCTTCTAATTTTCGAAAAGAATATAAAATCAATTACGAGTTCATAAAAGAGTATGATAGTAAATTGAACGGAAACTATAGAAATAATTAAAATTTTAGTCTAAACAGTTGAAAATCAATTGTAAAAGAATAGAACTATTTGGTACAAGGTTTATTTAAAAAAAGATTTCAATATAATTGTCACTATAGTCTTATATCTTAAAGATATCACAGTTAAATTTTTAAAATTTAATTCAATTTACAAAGCACAAGAAAAATGAACTAACTAAAGAAGCGCAATAAAAAATGTTACATTTTATTCCATTATTTTAATAAAACAATATATTAATACTCAAATAGATCTCGCAAATTGATATGTTCATTGCAAAATTTTTTATGCAAACGTCAAGATGCTTGAATAAAGAAACATCTAAAATATACATCTCAGTTTTTTATATATTGTTGTTTTATTAAAACGATTGATTATATTTTAACTTTTGAATTTTGTTTTTTATTTATTATTCAATTAATTACTAAATATTAAATAAAAATTATATATAAAAAATTATTTAAAAAAAAAAAAATTGTTTTTTTTTTTTAGCAAGTTGTTTTCTGTCTTTATATCACTAAAAAATCATTACAATTAAATTTTTTACTGTACCTGGCATGAAGAATCAACAAAATAAACTTTTATAATAAAAAAAAAAATTATCAAGAAGTAAAATTTTAATTTTTAATATATATATATATATATATATATATATATATATATATATATATATATATATATATATATATATATATATATATATATATATATATATATATATACATATATATTTACTGATGACATCTTGTATGAGAGTATTTATATATTATTTTAAAACATTCAGAATATCATTTTTCTACTCTTAATATAAAAATGTGCGCTTAAATTTTTCAAAAAAAGAAAACAACGAGAATAATGAAAGAAAAGACTGCTGCCCCATGCCAAACCTTCAGTCGATGTAGCAGTACTCCTTTGTGGCAGCAGGTAATAAGATAGTCGATGTATGTACTGAAGCCCCCACAACATCCTGCTTTTACATGACATCATCCATGTGTGTCTAATGCATTTATAAGTGTATATATATATATATATATATATATATATATATATATATATATATATATATATATATATATATATATATATTATTATTATTATTATTATTATTATTATTATTATTATTATTATTTTAAAAACATCAATAATAGGAATTTCTCTCAATATTAAACTTATTTATTAAAGGAAATTTTTGCTGCATTGTTGTGACCAGAGTCTTCAGCTTAAAACGCTGGTCAAAACAATCAGGAAAAAAATTTTTTCAAAAAATAAATTTAGTATTGAGAGAAATTTGTATTTATTAATGTTTTTAAAATTATAATTTACATACTCTCATACATGATATATATGTATATATATATCATGTATGAGAGTATGTAAATTATGTCAGAAATATAGATAATCTTTTTACACAGTTATACAAATTATGATTAAAACATAAAAAAATATATAGATACAGAAAAATGAAAAGAACTAACCTCATTAGTCTTCAGCGTCATAAAGTAGTAATGATTCATTCCTTCAGCATTGTATAACTTTGTTCTTCTATGAAACTCTGTATAATCAACAACTTCACCACAATACTCACTAACAAATGAACCTCTACAAACAAAATAAAATTTGTTTACAATATAACTAATAAACTATAACAAAGAATTACTAATAAAAAAATAATTCATATTTTTCATTACATTTTATTTCTATGCAAACTCATTCTCATAAAAGTCTTCTTGCTTATTTGTTAGAAAAATACTGCATTTAGAATGTCAGACTCAAAAATAAATTGCATCAGCCTATTTTAACGTACCACATCAGGCCTTGGCATGAAGCGGAAGCAATCGCCCCCGTCACATGAAACACGCTCGTTAATGGAATGTTTATAAATTGCAGCAGCAATAAAAAATGTTTGCTAATTTAGTTATGAGAGTAAAAAATTGCGTTCGTCCTAAAAATTTAAGAGGCAGAAAATTCTTTATTTTTATTTTAATTCACCTCCTCAAGGCCGAGAAGGCCACTACAGACAAGGAGGCTACTTATTTGTGGTTATAACCCTCTCTCAACTCTATAACTCCGAAACACGAACCTTGACAAGCAAGGCCGCTGCGCGGAGAAACGAGTTGATTAAATAAATAATGGTTTAATTGATTTTATATTAAATTTTTTTTAAAAAAGTTTTTGTTAAAGATTCTTGTTTAATTAAACAAATAAGTTCGCTTAAAAAATAATCTCTATTCACTTATTGTGTTTTTTCAACTGAGGTAAAATGTTAAAGTTATACTTCAATTAAAAAACTCATTTTTTCAATTTAACTTATGTCATTCTGTTGAAATTAGAGCGCAAATTTCAACGAACAATGAATGGTGATTTGTGAATGAGACTTCTTTACATAAAACGTTTATAGCAAACATTTAACAAAATTAAATAATTTTATTTATTTATATAAAATAAATATAAATTGTGTAATAAATACAAATTCATTATAAGAAACGTTGTTAATTTAATTTTGTAGAAGCATTTGCTGAAGAAACATATGTATAATAATAAATTTTTTTTATTTAATTTCGAAAAAAATATTAAAAATAACCCAAAAATACTAAAACTTTTAATTGTTGATAGAAATGTTGATAGAAAAGAATTTTAACAAATGTTTACGGCCAAAATTTAACTAAATTGAAAAAGCTTTTTGATTAAATTTTAACTTATTATTTATAACTTAATTAAAATTATAAATTCATTTGAGAAAAATAAAATTTTAAGTTTGTGAAAATGTTTGTTAAAAAAGTTATAAAAGTTCTTTTAGCGTTTGGGTATGGGTGTTCCACACAATTTTATTAAGTTTTAATTTGTTATACAGCGTTCTTCAGACGATAAATATTTTAAAAGTATTATTTAGCAGCGCACTGCCTGAAAAAACAAGCAACGAAAAAATATTAAATATGTTTTAACGAAAAAAAATAGTAATTTTTTTATTGTTTTTTTATCTCATCATTTTGTCAGGCAGTACGCTGCTAAATAATAATTTTAAAATATTTATCATCTGAAGAACGCTGTATAACAAATTAAAACTTAATAAAATTGTGTGAAACACCCATATCCAAAAATAAAAGAATGCTCCGGATAACTTAATGACAAACGCACAAAATCACACTCGCTAAAAAAGTATTTGAGTTTTACGGGTGCGAAACAATTTTAGCGCTGGACAATTTCCTTCATGTCAAGGTCTGTTACATTGTAATTAAACTTAATTATAAAATCATATAATCTATTATACTTTATTGAATATAAAAATTTCATAACAGTAAACTGTGACAAATTTAACAAAGTATTGGTAACAAGCTACCAATAATTATTATGTTTTAGTCACCCGAAGGCAAAGTAAATATAACTAACTTTATAATACTGAATATTTACAATTAAAAAAAGAACGAAAGTTTTTTAAAAAACGTTTAAAATGAGTGGTATAAATATAATTGTATTATTTTAAACAAAAATACAAGTTAAAAAGTAAAGTAAATAAACATTAAGTACTTTGTGATAGATTGTTGAGTTTTCAATCCCCATCCTTTTTTGCCAGCTTTGAAAATAACTAGATCATACTGACAACCCTAAAATAACCAATCAAATATCAGTAAATAATTGAAAACTTGATCAAATACAAGTAAATAAAAATTTAATCTCATTAACGGCAATGAAAGCAACAAATCAACAATAATTATACTTTTTGAAAGTTTCTGTTAGTGCAAAATTCTCTTGTAGGACATCTATTGTTGCTAACATAAAAAAAGATAACATATTTTACCCAATATTAAAGAATAATAAACTAAAATCATAGAATAACAAAATAACAAAATAAATTCCATCCAAAATATAGTTATTCCATAGTTAATGCAGGTATACCACTCAATCATCAATAGACGATTCAAACAGTTTTCATCACACCCCACAAAAAATGGATCATCTATAAAATAACAAATAAAAGATATTAAAAAATAAAACTAAAATAAAAAAAGTAAATAATTGCTGGGATGTGCAAGATTGAAATTACAAAAATATTTTACTAAAACACCTACTTAGCCTATTAAAAATTTGCCATCATTGTGAGCTTAAAGTGTTTATCAAGAGATCATGTATGTCGGTGGGTATAATTTTGCCAATCAAAATGTTATAATCAATCAAAATATTATAATCAATGAAAATATTATTCAATCAGAAAAACAAACTTCTATATATTTGTATAATTACAAGATTTGTATAATTACAAGATTATTTTTCAACCAATAGTTATAAACTTGGATAGATAATTCAAACACATTTAATGGTACATAAAATTGTTAAATATTTTTTGTATAAAAATAAACATTTTTTTTTACAATTGATCAAGTTGTTCAAGAGTTTTTTTTTGTGTTCTTTTAAAACAAATAAAATATTTTGCAATTTTTCTTTCTGTTTTTCTTTAACTTTATTTTCCAGATAACAATCAACTAAACATAAGAATATGATTTCTTTAGAAAGATAACAATCAACTAAACATAAGAATATGATTTCTTTAGAAAGATAACAATCAACTAAACATAAGAATATGATTTCTTTAGAAAGATAACAATCAACTAAACATAAGAATATGATTTCTTTAGAAAGATAACAATCAACTAAACATAAGAATATGATTTCTATAGAAAGATAACAATCAACTAAACATAAGAATATGATTTCTTTAGAAAGATAACAATCAACTAAACATAAGAATATGATTTCTTTAGAAAGATAACAATCAACTAAACATAAGAATATGATTTCTTTAGAAAGATAACAATCAACTAAACATAAGAATATGATTTCTTTAGAAAGATAACAATCAACTAAACATAAGAATATGATTTCTTTAGAAAGATAACAATCAACTAAACATAAGAATATGATTTCTTTAGAAAGATAACAATCAACTAAACATAAGAATATGATTTCTTTAGAAAGATAACAATCAACTAAACATAAGAATATGATTTCTTTAGAAAGATAACAATCAACTAAACATAAGAATATGATTTCTTTAGAAAGATAACAATCAACTAAACATAAGAATATGATTTCTTTAGAAAGATAATAAACTAAAATAGCCTAATATAAATCCTCGAGGAACATAAATGACAAAAACTTACACATTTTTATAAACTCCTACATTGAATGAAAAATCATTACAAGCAGAAAGAAGTCTGAATTGATTGAAAAAAAATTCTTGAATAAAATGAAATTATATATACTTCTGTCTTTTAAAAGCTAATAACTTTATAATAGGTTAAGAAAGTTTCAGAAATGAGTAAAACATTAATTATAACTCAAGTTTTGTGCTGAGAAACTGGTTTATAATCAGTTCAGGAACAGTATGAAGCTTGTTTCTATAAACACAAACTAGATTGTAATTTTTATTACCATGTATGCACCGCAATATATCTACCACGGTGTACAAGTGGCTCCTTTCAATCATTATTGACTTTTGCTTATAGTCCATATCAATTAAAAATTTGAACTTAAAACAACTTTTGTTCTATATATGGATAAAAAGTTCAATTTCAAAGTTTATACTTCTTGTACTTTAAATGTCAGTTTTTTCTATTATTTCAACATTTTTGGAGCTCCTGAACACCAAATAAGTAGTGATTTTGTGTTATATTATGGTAATTAAATACAATTTGTATTTTATTGTTTGAAGAATAGCCATTAACACAAAATTAAAAATGTAATATATGTTGTTTCATTATAATATAAATTATTTTAAATTATATATAAAAAATTGAAAAAAAAATTATTTTCTTGAAAAATGAGAAATTGTTTTTATTAGATAGTTTACGCTTTTGTTTGATTCTGCATTTTAACTAGCATTTTTGCAGAGCTTAAATACACAACAGCGCTCTAAAAATGGTCCCATAACTGTCATACTTAAAAGATAAAAAGTTTTATTTTGTAATTTTATTTAGCAGTTATTTAATTGAAAAGTATTTCATATTTTTTTGAAAATTTTATTTAGTTGCATTTTCATTTAAAAAAATTAATCAAAATTTAAAAAAAGATAACCAAAAAAAAGTAAAAGTAATTGAATCATTAATTTATTTTAAACATACATAATAGTAATAAAAATGCATCATCAAATGTATAAAGTGTGTAGGTCTAATATCACATTGTATTTGTAAATATTTGCAATACTTCCACACTTAAATTAAGTTTGTTAAATAACAGGGTTTTATGCTTTTCTTAAAAGATTATTAATGTATTAATATTTTGAAACTCATAAGAGTTATATATTAAAAATGTACACAGTTCAATAAGTTAGTAATTAATTGATCAATTGACAGTAAGTATTAATTGACAGCAAGTATTGATTGACAGTAAGTATTGATTAATTGACAGTAAGTAATTGATAGCGGTTAGTAATTTTTTGGTTACCTTAATTGTATTTGACATGTATAAATACTTGGGAATACTACAATACAATACAACAATACTTGGGAAACTAAGTTAAATGATCTGAGTACCAAATTTACTGTTTTATTAATAAGATCTTTTTTGTTAAATATATCAATAAAGATTCAAACAAAAGGACTTAAAAGTTATTTTTTTAATATTATTTTCATTTATAATTGTAAATGTATTTAAAAAAAAATGAAAAACAAAAATCCAGATGGGAAAAGGAGAAAGAAAAATTCAAAGTTGAGTTAAAAATATTGCAATCAGGACAACCAACTCTTCACAGATTCTTTGCACCATCATTAACTAATCCTACACATTGTGATTCAGCAGATACCTTGGAACCAATTAAATACGAGCTATCTAGTCACAGTAATCCAGCTGACTTTTCAATTTGAGAAACATCGGACCATATTAGTGTTCAATGAATCCAAACATCGGATAACATAGATGATTCAAATAAACTTTGGCAAAGGCCGGCAACAGGACAAGAGGTAAGTTTTATAACTTGTACCCATCCAATTCAATTAAATACAGTATCCAGAGGCTTTGAAGTAATATTGATGAAACAAGATAAAACAGTTCATACCTGGCCTAGCTTTGACAAGAGAGAAATATTTTAGCAGCGCATGTATATGTTTTAATGGTGATGCTAACAACATTTTTAGATCGAAACAAAAATGCTACCGTTGTTTTGCAAACTTATTTGCGAAATGGAAACATTTAAACCTTGTTAAAACTTCTCATAACAGTGGATCCAATGCTTATTGAACACTTTAGGCAGCCGTCAGCTAGTTAAAAGACATCACAAAAATGTAAGTTTGGTAAAAAATTTGGTCCAGTTGGCAGGGGATCAAAAATTACCTGGTTTAGTAACTAAACCTTTGATGCACTACTGAAAATTTTAGGTACTGAAATACAAAAGCGAATTATCAGCTTAATAAAAAAATGGTGTTTTTAGTATACAAGCTGATTCAACAACAGATGTAGCTCTAACGATATGACGTGTTTTTTACATTCCGTTACACAATATCATTGAAGAGGTTGATTGATGTGTGTGAAATTACTTGTGGAAGAGCAACACATTTATTTACAGTCATGTCTAATATGTTGGACAAAAAAACCTTGACTGAAAAGCAAAGTGCATTGTGTACTGTTTCAATAGTGCATCAGTGATGACAAAGCTTGCTGACCATTTTGGTAAAGCTACTCAAAATGTGAATCAACACATGTCATGTCAGTTTAATAGGTATATTTGAATATGATGTACATTTGTATATGTACAATCTACATGTATAATACATTTAGTTATTTGTATATGTACTGTTTAAGTACATTTATACTATGTATAATAGTAATACTATGTACATCAATAGAAACTAATCAAAATAAAAACACATAAATCGTTTTATTATAAAACAAGTTTAAACTGATTTTAAAACATTACAAAAATGCAAAACATGAATTTGATACTGAATATATTTGATACTGAATATATTATATATTATAATATATTATTGAATTTATTTTTTCCATTTTTTCTGGTTGTTAAAAACCATTTATAACTTTTCTTATGATAATACGTCTATAAATATCTACTTTGTTTTCAGAGTAATGTTGTTAGAGTTATTATGCAAAATACTAATATAATTGTGCTTAAAGTTAAACACTTAAATTAAGCAATTAACTAAGTTGAACATGTGCAAACATAAATATACTAAATATAAAAATATTTGTCGATTTTTTTCAATGCTGAAAAAAGTTTTTTTAAATTAAGATTAAAAAGTGCCAAAAGGCCCATATTTAGATAAAAAAAGGGAAAAGCCCATGCGCCAATCCTGCATGGCCTCTGGAGCCACCACACCCCTGATCTTTTTAATGATCATGAATATGAATATTATCATTAATTTATAATCAGTTCTCTAATCTTCGTTAGATTTTTTACATTACCAATAAGTATAAGTAAAAAAACTATCTGGATCAAATACATGTAATAGTAAAACTACCTGGCTCAAACAAATATAATAATAAAAACTACCTGGGTTAAACAAATATAATAATAAGGAAAAACTACCTGGCTCAAATACACATTCACAAATCATTCTTCTTACTTCTTTACTAGACCTTGATTTTTCTCTGAAACATTTAACAAATCTTATTAAATTAGTTTTTAGAACAGGTCATAGACAAAAAAAAAAAAAATTATTCTAGAAACCAAATATTAAAAAAAGGAATTATCTTAAACTGTATTATTTGATTAGCTATTGAAAATTTATAAAAAATTATATATAAATGAAAGAAACTGCAAATCTTTGTCTTACTAAATCCAGATATTAAATAACAATAGTTTTATTTGTTATAACTATTTTGTCGTATTAACAAAAACATATTTATTTACACATATTATAAAAAAAAACCTTTTAAATAAACATACTTATCAATAAGATAAATATTTGTTTCAGTTGAATCGAAAGTAAGTGGTGCTAAATCATCATCACCATTATCTTCCTATACAAAACAAATAAGTATACATAATTATTAATAAGATATTACTTGTGAATATATACATATGTAGTAGTATATACATATCATGTTCCATTCAAGATACTTGATTTATTGACATAAAAAAGGAAAGTTGCCTATGATATGGCACTTTTGATGGATGGCATTTCTTCCAACTGTCATCGCAAAAGGTAAGGCAATTAATATTGAATTACAACATACAAATGCTATGCTACTATTGCTTGATGATTTCAATTTCAACAGATAATGATAGCCTTTTTTATAGTCTACGCTTTTATAAAAATATAACTTATCTACTATATATATATATATATAAATATAAATATAAATATAAATATATATATATATATATATATATATATATATATATATATATATATATATATATATATATATATATATATATATATATATATATATATATCTCGCCCACACTCCGCTGAAACGGTTTACGAGAGCTATTTACGGCTCTCTTAAAAGTATAATTTTTCTAATAAAAGTATAACTATCATTTTTAATAAAATAAAAAACACAATGTCATTTAATTGCATAATATACTGAAATGCTTTTTAAAAGGCACGGTGGTTGCAAAAAAAAAAAAAAATAGAATTAAAAAAGAGCGCCAATTTAAATGAGGAGCAGCTTGCACAGCTCCCCAATTTGGTTTTAGGAGAGCTTTTTTCCGCTCTTGTACTCATTTAACCCCGCTGAGTGTATATATATATATATATATATATATATATATGTATATATATACATATATATATACATATATATATACATATATATATATATATATATATATATATATATATATATATATATATATATATATATATATTAAATAAAAATAAAATATACATTATAACAAAACAAGTATTAATTACAGCAACCCTGATGATAATTTAATCAAAAACTCATATATTGGTATAAGCGAAACACCTTTCAAACTAAAATACGCTAATCATTTAAAATATTCAATAGAAGAAGTTAAAAAGTTAAAAGACGATAATAAAAATCATGTGCCTAGGTGGAAAATAATCAGACGGCGTGAAGCGTATAACCAACAACCAAATCATGCAAATTATGCATTGTATTCAAACAAAGACAACCATTTAATAAAATAAGTGAAATTATATCAAAATATAGACATTAAAATAATTTCCTCCTTTCTCAATTTGACGCAAGTTAAAATTAGACTAAGACATTCACATAATTGATTTTTTGAAATCAGATCTCATTGAATTGTTTAATTTGTTTTTTAAACAGTTTTTTAACTTCTTGATATAAAAATGTATGATATATATATATATATATATATATATATATATATATAAAAATGTATGATATATATATATATATATATATATATATATATATATATATATATATATATATATATATATATATATATATATATATATATATATCACACTGCAGTGGAGCATACTTCAAGACCAATTTTTTTTTTGATAATGAACAGGGACCATTGCCCGATTCCAAAAATGTATTAAACAAAATCATCCATTGGGGGCTTTTTGAGAAATAAGGTATTTTAGATTTTTAAGAGGTTTTGAGAGAAAAAAATTGTTTGGGATGTCTACCATGGTCTTGAAGTATGCTCCACTGCACTGTGTTCAGAACAAGCTAAAAAATTTGAAATATTTTATATTGATTAACTTTTGATTAATATATATATACTTAATGTATGTACTTAATATATGTACTTTATGTAAATACTTGTGACTAATAAAAGTTTATAAAATAACCGGTTTTTTTAATAAACATTATTTCAAATACTTTGTTTACCAATAACAGCTGTTTACCAATTAATCAGCTGATTTTAGTAAATGTTTACATAATTAATATCAACTTATGTGAAATTGTGCAGCACTACTTGTGTTCAAGTCGACATTGTTATATTTTACAAAGAGTTTATTCAAGTAAGAAATTTTTTTTCAGATAGATTAATTAGTTAAGAAAATGGCTCATGAGGCAAAAACACATGATGAGTTTGTAAAGTTGTTCTGCATTTGCTGTTTTCAGAAGTCAAAAGATTTAAGATTTATTAACTGCAAAGTGAAAACTAATTTATCAAATGGAAAACATGATTACTGCCAGCTTCTCAAAATGCACTTTTGGCAAGATTATGCGAGCCAAAACCCAGATCTCCCTGTTATGATTTGCTCAAAATGTAGAAAAAAGTTGTAGATCCAACCTTTAAATCCAGACCAAGTTATAAAGGTAAATGCCAAATATAAGTACAATTTTCATTAAACAATTAGGTGATATATAAATAAATATGTTGCATATTCATGCCAAGAATATTTTTTTCTTTTAGATTTGAGCACTAGAATTGTTAGAGGGGGCAAATGTGAATGTTTCATCTGTGAAAATGGAAGAAAGAATGGAAAAATTGAAGTTACAGTCCCAATGGTAGAATGCTTTACAGGAAATTCAGTAGCTCAAGGTCCTGAAAACCAGTTAATAGAGAGAAATTTATGCAATACATGCTAAAAGGAAAGTCTCATCCTTGCACCAAATTAGAGAGACAAAAGAATTTGTCAGCTATTGTACAGTCGGCATCCCCTGTGACTAAACAAAGAGTTCTTTCAAGATCTTTGAAAGATCTTAGTTCAGATAAGGAAATAATTTTAAACACTTTTGGCCCGAATAAGATGGTTGTCAGGATTGGAACTGAGCCGAAAAAAACATATTTTACATAAGAAAAACTTAATCTACTTTAACTGAAACTTCACCGCAGTGATCGTAAAATAATTAAGATAAATCTGTTTCTTGGGTCTGAGGGTGTAAATGTTGAACCAGGATTCAGTAAGAAATTGACAAGCAATAATAATGCTATTCTAGACCTTTTTAATGGAGAAAAGCTTTCTATTTTTATGAAGAAAACAAGTAATGCAGGGGAAAAAGAAGTAAAAATAAATTAAAATCTTTTTTCATTACAAATCTCTAGCAGAGAACACATTTTATGTAAGTATTTTGAACATGTACATAAATATTTTTCATCAAGTTTTAGACAGGTTGAGTATTAACATTTAATTAGTATAACACAAGTGGCTAGGTAACTAATTTTTGATTTTGCATGTTTAGATGGTTGAGAAAGAGGTTCCTGTAGTATATTGCAATGATATTGAAGAGTTCGTGGCCCTGGTCCTTTAACACAGAAATCAGGTCCCTAATGATGTTGATATCAAGCTTGGCGTAGATGGGGGGCAAGGGTACCTTAAAGTAACTTCGTCAATTACATTAAAACCAGATATGATAACACATACTGTCTCAGAGAAAAAAAGTTGAAATGGGGAAGGATATTCAAGCCAAGATTTTAAAAGTATTCACAAAACTCTCATTCTGTTTTTAAAAGTGTTCACAATACTTTTAAATTTAAAACTTTAAACTTTAAAACAAGATTTTAAAAGTGTTCACAAAACTCTCATTCTGTGTTTAAAAGTGTTCACAAAACTCTCATTCTCGCCATTTTGCCCTCAATGAATGAAAGCTATGTAAATTTAAAAATGATCCTTGGTAAATTGAAGATAAATTCTTTGGACTACACTGTATCAGAAGATCTGAAAGTTTTGCTCCAGATGGTTGGCAAACAGACAGCAACAGCTAAACATCCTTGCCCATTCTGTAAAACCTCATCTCCCAAAATGATGAAATCTGAACATTATACATTGTCTTCTCTTTGCAAACTGTGCAATGATTGGATGGTGGACGGTGCAAAAGTAGAAAATGCAAAAGAGTTTAGTAATGTTGTACATCCACCTCTATTAACTGGGGACCCAACCAAGAAGATAATTGAAATAGTTAATATACCAGGTCTACATATACTGGTAGGTGTAGTGGACAAGTTTATCTCAGAAATGGAAAAGAAGTTATTTGAAGCCAAGGAGGAGGGATTTATATCTATAAGTTTTTTTTTGGAATCTATTAATCTCAACCGGGTATCTTACCAAGGGCAGCATCGACTGGAAGGTAATGCTTGCAACCTTTTCCTGAAAAAAATCGAGAGCTTGGAAGTATTTTTCCAACAGAAAGGCCTGTGTATTAAATCAGCCAAGTATATAAAAGTTTTACAAGACTTCAACAAAATAGTTTAAGGATGTTTTGGCAAATCTGTTAGTACTACATATATTGACGACATAAAGGAATTCTCCTCAAGCTACAGGGACCTGGGAGCCACAGTACCTTTAAAAGTACACATAGTAGAACAACATATTGAGGAGTTCATCAAAATGAAGGGAAGACAGTTTGGTAAGATTTCTAAATTGTTTATTTAGTAAATTTAATAATATTGAATATAAATACAATACAATACATTTAATTTTTGATTTGTCAATCCTATTTCCTTATACAAGATATATATGATATTTAGGATTAGGTTACTGGACAGAGCAGGCCTTGGAGTCTATTCATCAAGACTTCAAGCAGTTTTGGGAAAGTCGAAAAGTTGGGCAGCATAGCCCAAATTATCTTACAGCACTAAAAAAAGCAACTGTTGCTTATAACTTTAAACAATTTTGATGTAATAAATTTAATTTTTTGCAATCCTTTAATTTTTTTATTTATTGACACATTTCTAAAACCTAACATACCTCCTAACTAAACCAAAAATACCAAATTGAAAAATATGTTTTAGATATAAAATAGGTTATACATTTTTTCAGAAATGAAAAGAAATGGTTCATTTTAAAGATTCATCATGTTTCATGTGTATAAGACAATTTGACAGTCAATACGACCTCGGATAGTATTGTTGAAGGAAAACAAACTTTCTTGATTTTAAAAGACGGTCATTTTGATGCAAAAAACGCCAAAATCAGACTTCATGTGATTTTTTTTATCACACAACCTCTCAAAAATCTAAAATACCTTATTTCTCAAAAAGCCCCAAATGGATGATTTTGTTTAATACGTTTTTGGAATCGGGAAATGGTCCCCGTTCATTATCAAAAAAAAAATTGTTTGGGATGTCTACCATGGTCTTGAAGTATGATCCATTGCAGTGTGCAATATATGAGTTTTTGATTAAATTATCATCAGGGTTGCTATAAGTGATACTTTTTTTTTTTTTTAACATCTTCGCTACCAACAAGGCTGCAAGCAACCACTGATTAGTGTTGGAAATTTCTGGAAGAGAAAAGATGAAGATTGTAGAGCAAGATAATGATTGACAGACGACTTAAAAGATTGCAAATTATATGAATCAGGAAAGCAAGATGGAGGAAGTGAATTCCAAAGAACTGATGTTCGAGGAAAAAGATAACGAATAAGAGTGTTTGGGGCACTTAGGAACAGTAACAGAAAAAGAATGAGACTTAATTGAATGACGAGTAACACAAGAATGAATTTTAGTAGATGGCACAAGAGACGCTCTTTAGAGCAGTGCCCATTATAATTATACTTGTTTTGTTATAATGGTGTTAGTTACTTGGTATACAATACAACAATATATTAATTGTCAAGCAGTTATTTAATAAAGAGCAAAAGTTTTTATTAAGATGTTTGCAGTTAATTTTAAAGATGGTTGGATTTTTGTTTAAGATGTATTTGTTGTGTGATTTATTACTGATTTCATGCTTGAAATGCTTATTGATTTATAGTTAACTATTGTAAATGCATTGTTGATCGTAAAACAAAAGTCATTGCCAGCTACTAATAGAAAAGTAGCAAACCAATTTTTATTAATGAATAAACTTTATTATACAAAACACATAGATGGGACTGAGCACTTATTCATTATAAAAAATATGTTGAATAAATGCACATAAAAAATATAAAGACTAGAAGCAAAAATAAGTCTTTTTTTATTATTCTTTGTTTTTTTCTATTTTTTCTAAAACCCTGTTTTGATTTCATTAACATTTTTAAACTTAAAATGTGCTAAATATATTAGGACAGTGTCAATTTAAATACACAAGAGAGATCATATAGATGCCCAGAGAATCAAAATTGTTTGCTGACCTCGTTTTTATGTTGTTGTAGTACAAATATTACATTTCGTTAATACTTAATTTATTTGTTATACTCAAAATAAAATTTAAATTTCTTTGAAAATTAATATCCTAATAGGTCATTTATAGTAAAAATTTTTTGTTAAATTAAAAAACAGTTAAAAAAATCTAGTTAAAAATTACGTATGATCATGTTAAAATAAATTCTACAGAACTGTAGAATTTATGTTTAACATGAAAAAAAATTTTATAGAGACATTATATATTATTGGAAAGATAATTTTATCAGCTTTTTAATGGTGTATTTTTGAGTTGAACAAAAAAAATGGCAGAAAGAAAAGATGAATAAAGGATTTCTGATAACCTGAGCAATTTTTTCAAAAAACACGGATTGCGACGCCGGTATTTACCTGGGGAAGGAGGAAAAATATTTATTTTATATATATATATTTATAATATATATTACACTTTATACCTAATTTTTCAAAATTTTGAAAAAATATTTAGCAAGATGCTCTCCCTCCCCCCCTTCCTCCCATTTACAGCGATCCTCATTCAATTAACCCAATATTTATAAGAAAATATAAAATAATCCGACATCATATATATTTTTTAAATTATATATAAATATATTTTTAATATAAAAATAATCTTTCATATCTCAAAAGTGTCTTTTTTTTGGGATGTAACTACGTCCGCAAATTTATTTTATTTTTTATTTCATTTTTAATAATGCATTATTTTAGGCAATGTTATTAGACATCAATGAAAATTCGGATGTTGTTGCACAGATGTTAATTCAGTAAAGAAAAAAAGCGGATAATCCTACACAAAAATGTGCCGATGTTATTTCACTACTCCACGAATGTTGTTGGACAGATGTAGTAATCTTTTCCAAAATTATATTTTTTCTGACCTTTTTTGACAAAGCGTAAAGACTTACTGTACATTTCCTTTAATTTAATTTTGGTCATTTTTATTGAAAAAACATCATTGAATGATATTACTTTCGAATGAAATTTGTGTACATTCGTTTTCAAACAAAATCTGTATACGAAAACGTGTACAACTCTATGTCTCTTTTTAACAATTCACATATTGTATTGAATGATGTCATTTTGTTACTGCAAGTAAGACATCCAGATGTTGAATATTTTGGTAAAGGGTTCTCGAAGCTGGCTCTACATGATACATGATATCTGCCTTCTGCTGCTACTAGATCATTCACACTGGTTAAACATGCTTCTTTAGAAACTTGGTCTTCTCTATTAGCTTTAGCAAGTTGGTCTTCTCTATTGTGGCATATTTTGATGGTGGAAGAATGTATGGCTGATTTTTTTGTATGTAATTCTTCAAATTTGTTGTGATTTGGATTTTTTCTGTCATAGATACAATCATCACCATAATAAAAACACTGCGTTTTTAAATGAAATAGTTCCAATTTAGCTATAATAATACGCTGTCTCGATTTTCATTGATCTTTTTTGAGAGCGATTTTTAAAAAATTTCTTCAGGATAAACGAATAAGTGTTTGCTTTTGTTCATTTTAAGCTTATAAACTAAATTAAGTTTTACGGCATGCTCTATAATAGCAGACAGGGGGTATTTTTCTGACTAACATCAGAATACTTCGAGCCTACATGATTCAAAGGATCATGTATTTTTACACCTTCTTCGCATTTAAAAGATAACATTATTCCATTTAATACGCCAGTTTCAATTTCACCTTCTATTATTATCTGTTCTTTAAATAAAAAGACAGTTAACAATACAAAATAGTTTTTTATATCTAATTCAATATTTAATTCACAGCTGTTTCAAATACATTGATAACTATAAGTATTTTTTATATTATTTTCCTAATAGCTACGATTTCAAAGAGAAATTCATTTTTATAATAAAATGAATACTTAAGCTTTTAGAAATACTTAATTCCTTTTGTTCAGTCATTTGATAACATCATGGCAATTGAACTACAGTTTTTTTGTGACAAGATACACCATTAAAAAGCTGATAGAATTATCTTTCTAATGACATATAATATGTCTCTATAAAAATTTTTTCTAGGTTTCACTATTTTTTGGCCAAACTCTACAGTACTATCAGTGTATCAACACTATAAACATCATGTTATGTGAAGTCAGAAGCGCAGACTTGAATAGTGTTGTTTACCTTAATTTATTTAGTGTTGTTTAACTTAATTTATTTACTTAATTTTGTAATATTAATATTATAACTTTTTTGAAATTTTTGCAGTTTTATGTGTATTAACTATTATTGTTGTTAATATCTATACTATTTATTTTTTTTATATATATTTATTTTTTTAATAATATCTATACTATTTTTTTTCTTTTAATTTATATGAATAAGTGCATCAAAGTATATACACATTAACAGACCCGCGCCATCCATATATTCCAAGTTGTGTAATGCACAAGGTGGCTAAGACGAAAGAGGTGCCAAAACTCATGAAAAAGATAGATAATATGCTGCCTTAATCACAAAGTACCAAAAAAATTTACGCTTTACAATAAAATAAATTTTTTTGGATGAACTTAATGAAATAACAACATTTTTTTCAAACTATTTTTAAATTTTGATAATACTTTACAAGTTCTTTTAAATTATTATAGAATATAAACTGTTTTAAGATCCAATATTATAGAACAGGCAACAATAAATACTCATCTATTTACATGGAGTTCATGAAAAAAAACTTTTAACTTTTATCCTTCTGGTTTTATAGCAGACACAAAGGCAACAAGAAATTTCAAGTTTTAGTCCGACACATCATGCAAGATAAATAGCAAAAACTATTTAGGCACAGAAAATCTTCTTTTAAAGATTCAGCTCTATCACAGATTTTATCACAGATTTGCCTTTTTTTTTTGCCAGTGTTGTTTATGTTAAACAGTGGAATGAAGCCTATATAAATGACATTAAATTTTTTGTTAAATATCAATAATGGTACAAATTCTACAACAACCAGTTTTGGGAGACACCCCTCAGTGTGTAAAGTAAAGTTGAAAAAGTTGGAAGACCTGGTTACAGAAAGAACAACATCTTTCTTTTTCATGGAAGGAAGCAAAGAAAAGATTTAAACATTTCTTAAGAAACTCCTAGGACAATGGACATTTGATCCAGTCTTCGAGATGTTTTATGAACTGATGCACACATGAGTAGTAAATGATGTAGCTGAAAAAGGAATCAATCACTTAAGTTTTAGATTATCTACTGCAGAATAAATTATCTAAACTAAACTAAACATTTACTAAACAATATCAAATTTTAAAACTGAAATCTTAATTAGATTGTAATTTTTACTTATATCTTTTAATTACAACTTTAATATTATAGTTTTGATTCAAGTTATAATTTTAATCAAGTTTTAAATCACTAACCGATATTTAACAATAACTACTTTATTTAAGATAACATAAAAACTATCAAACAGGTTGACCTCTGAAATATCAAACAAACTGTCAAATGCAATAGCCTCTAAATATTAGTTTTTTTCATTAAACTTTTGCACTATTGTTATAATCATAACAAAGAACAAAAATAACTTTGCGGGCAATCGAAATCTGTTACTTTATTTTTTTAAACTACCCTTATATAATTTATAATACAAAAAACTGCATTTGAAAATAATTAAAGCATACCAGTTCATTAGAAACTCTATCAGATTCATTCCTGAAAAGAAAGTATCTTTAATTTAATAACATTTTTGGATAACTAAATAACAAAAAAAAATTAAAAAAATAAAAGCAGTGCAAACTAAACTTAGTTAGAATGAAATTGTTATTTATACAAATTTATAATTTATAATATATTCCTTTGGTCAAACTATAAAAGCATATATACCTTAATTTCAAATTAAAGTATATATGATTTTATAGTTAATTGAATATCAAACAATTTATGAAGTTTTGTATTGATCAATACTTACTAAATAATGACTATGAAAGTAATAGGAACAACCAATGATAACATGGTGCATGTAACATGCATAAATATTGAATGTTTGGATTTAGTACAAAAAACTTTAGAATCACTAATCTTGGACTTTATGCAGTTAAACTTTAGAATACAATACAGTCATAAAAAAAATAAGTTTTCATTGGAGACAAATTGATTTAATTTTTTATAAGATCCAACACTCCAAACCTGTCAATACTTTGTTATGTTGAACAATTTTCAATTAAGTTTTTAAATAAAACTTGGACGAATTAATTTGAAAAAAAATCTGTCATATTCATGTCATATTTCTTTAGTTATAGTTAGCGCACACAAAAATCTTTAAATGTCAAGAGTAAACAATTACTGCAAATGAGTTTGCTTAGACAAAAAATGTAGGTAGTGTCTAGATTTTAAAAACCCGAATTATGAAATCAAATTCTGTGCTATGTTTACTTTATTTGATTTTATTTTAGCAAAGTTTTGCATTAATATATATAAAAGTTTGTATCATTCTTAGTTTTAAAAAAATGAAATAGAGGTTAGGTTTAGCAAATTCAGATATATTTTGATTAAATTTTAAGCTATTGTAAGGGAAAAGCAGTAGTTTTATGGAAAACCCATCTAGAAACACTAAATTTTATCTGCCAAAATAACATTCCATTCTTTGTTAGTTTGCACACCTAAACCTAAATAGCGGTTGCTAGAAACCATGTTGGCAGTGAATTTAAATAAAATAAATATTTGTTTGAAGCGAGTTATTTGAAGTTTTTAGAGCCAACATGTTGGCCTAACTCATATTATTATTCAAAATTGTTATTCTTTGTTAGCATTGTAAATCTTTTTTAGTAAAAAAATGTTTTTTTAATAACTTTGTGTAAAAATAATATAAACATAGAACACATTCCTATAACATTATCAAAGCTATTTTTGATAAAGCATTCTTTAGTGCAAGAATTAAACAAACATTACCTTATCAAAAAATGTCTAAAAAATTATTTAAAAAAAACCAAAAGGATGGCATGTATAGTAGGTACAGTGAATTTCATATGTTTTTGAAAAAAATAAAAATAAAAGCTTAGGAAAAGGTGTATTCTTATGTAAAATTAAATTTTAAGGTAGGTTTGCTATGGACAACTTTTTGATTAGAAAATGTTTTGATACCCAAATTTTCATATTTAGACATTATTAAAATGAAATATACTTAAATTATTATAAAGTAAATTTAATCCAATTTTATGTTTAGTCTCTCATAATAAGCGCAGTGCAAATCAATTTTAAAAGAAATTCTTAGCTCTCCACCATAAAAAACATCAAAACAAGATCGTAGTCTGTAAATACTTTATTCGTTATATCATCAAGTTATTCATAAATGTTGAAAGTTAAAACTAGATATTCATCCACCACTAGAATTTCTGAGTTTAGTGGACCTGGAAAAGATTTTATTCCTAGTGAGCTGCCTACAAACAGAGCAGTTATTCAAAAAGGAATTTTATTAAAAGAACAAAAAAGCATAACATGCAATTTACACCAAAATAAATATATTAACAAAGATCTTGCTAGCGATCTAATTCCACTTGTTCTTGCTCAATGGAAAAAAGCAAATATTTTATTTCAACAACCAGTTATTATAGGGGAGAATTCCCTTTATTATAGAATAAAAACACTTTAGGAGAAAATAGAAAACGTTACATGGGGAAGAACTAAGGTAAAAGTAAAAGAAGAGCTTATATTGAAATTAGATAAACTAATCGACCTCATAACATGTCCTCACACAATACTTCTATGCGAGCATGATCTGTCTGGGTGTTCTTCCCCAAAAAATCGTAAAAATAAAACACATATAAATTGTACCTGTATTTATTCTAAAAAAATTCCGACTATGGAGCTCAGGTGGTTATGCAGTCAAATTAATAAGACAGGTGAAAAGTCTGACATGCAGATGGGACATGTTGATAAGATTGAGACAGGGAAACTAAGAGAAAAGTCAGCGATGAAGAAGCTTGTGAGAAAAAAATTAAAAAAATAGAGGAGAAACAAGCATTCTTCAAGGTAAATATAATTTCTTAATAATAAATATTTTCTTTTTTCATATAATAATAATAACAATAATAATAATAATAATAATAATAGCAATAATAATAATAATAATAATAATAACAATAATATATATATATATATATAAAATATATATAATAAATATATATAACATATATATATATATATATATATATATATATATATATATATATATATATATATATATATATATATATATATATATATATATATATATATATATATATATATAAGATATATATATATATATGATATACATATATATAATAAATATATATAACATATATACATATATATACATATATATATATATATATATATATATATATATATATATATATATATATATATATATATATATATATATATATATATATATATAACATATATATATATATAATATACATATATATAATAAATATATATAACATCAAAAAAATATTTTTCCTGGCTTTCTCGATGAAAACTATAATCCAGATAATGTTAACTTAACTTTAAAACAATACGATGAAATTAAGATTTTGGTTGAAAGGCTGCTAAAGGAAAAGTTAGGTGTCTATGCTTTCCTTGTAACACGGTTTTTAGAAAAGAAGTCAAGATATAACACTAAGCTATGGCTAGTATAAGGTAATTATATTGACTATTGTTTTGTTGAGCAGCAACATGAGTTAATTGAAATAAATATAAACCATTTTTATTTTATAGGTGTTCGGATTTCACCTGCCGCAACTGCAGCAATTGCTACAAGTTATTTTCAAGATTTAATTGAAGCAGGATTTCTCACCCCTGAGTCCTCTTACCTTGCTTGTGATGGTAGTTGCGAAGAAAAATGATAATTTAAAACTTCCGAAAGCAGATAATATTGCCATTTACTTTGACAGAAGGAAAGATTCAACAAGAGCAACGATAAATGATTCAAATGGACAGCTACATCCTATTATTATCAAAAAGCAGCACATTACTGTGACTATAGAACCTGGTGGTCGATATCTTGGCCATTTTACCCCAAATGCACCTAATCATCTAGATAAGCCAGCTAAAAAGATTGCTGAAGGTGTTTATATTTTGCTGCAACAACATAATCTTACTGAATCATGTTTATTACTTGGAGCTGACAGTACTTCAATTAACACAGGCTGGAAAGGTGGTGCTATAACGCATCTTGAAAACACACAAGTGCCACTGGGCCATATGCATGCTTCATTCAAATGAATTATTTTTGTGTCACCTTATAGAAGGCATTGATGGACCAATATCATGTAGTACTGGATTTGTAGGTTCCGTGGGAAAATTTCTTGCTGATGTTAATAAAATGGAGTATAATTCTCAATTCTCAAAATTAAATCTCAAAAGCTCTTACAAATGGAGAGAGCTTTGTCGACATTCCAGAAACAATATTAAAAAATATGTAAACAGATCAGAAACAATGTTACAAGCTATGTAAAGCAGTTAAGATTGGTTTAATGCCACCTAATCTTAGAGAAATTTAATGTGGCCCCTTAAGTCATGCCAGATGGCTCACTACTGGCATGAGAATAGTTTTTATGTGGACAAGGAAACATGACTTAAATGATCAAAATTCGCAAAATCTAGAGTTACTTGTTGTATTTTGTTTACAATTTTATTTTAAACTTTTTTTTGACTTAAAGGTCAAAGACAGACTTGAAGATGCTTCCTATCACATTCTGTCTCAATTAAGAATTCTTAGAATGCAACCTGATAGAGTAAAAGAAATTGTGACTCCCTACATCCAGTTAGGAGCTTGGTATGCAAACCATGAAAGTATACTAATCTCTTTATTATCTAGTAATAATGCAGAAGATCGCGATTTTGCAGTTGATCGAATTTTGAAAATAATGGGTAGTGATATCCTTGGAGATATGCAAATCAGACCAAGAAAAACACCTTAACTTAACTTTGCAACAACTACTCTTCAAGAGCTGGAAAAAAGGTGTTGTACAAGAACCTGTTTTTATTTGTTCGCTCACCAGAGATAAGTTGTTATTACTAAGATTGATACCTTTAATAACTCCTTTGATTAACATTCATACTCAAAGTACTGAGCGTGCTGTAAAACAAGTGACAGTAGCATCCATGTCAGTAGTTGGACCATATGCAAGAGATGGGTATATTAGAGCTAGAGCTCAGCATAGAGAGTTGCTACCTGTTTTTAAAGCAAAGAAAGAAATTTTATTAAATTTTTACCTGTTTTTAAAAAAAAAGAAAGAAATTTTATTAAATTTTTACCTTTAATAGATTTTTATTTCATTTGTTCTTTAATAGTGTTTTAGTAGTTCTATCAAAATATTGTTGGGGTAAGATAAGGGGATAAACCACCTTATGATTATGATCAAATTTTTTAATCATTAGAGCCTCATAAAAAATTGAAGACCCCCTCTTCCTCCCTCTAAAAAATGCTGAATCTGCACTGCAATTAGGATCCATGCAAGATAATGATTTTAAAAAGTATCAAAAAAACTCTCAATAATCTAAAAATATTATTTGCATTTAATATTTTATCGCAATCAAAAAGAAAATGTAAAATACAATGAAGGACATGTGACAAATTAGATTTTATTACTTTTTGCAATTTCTAAAAGTCCATATATCAAAACTTTTTCCGATCAAATTTTTTTTTTAAAAAACCCTCTTTAAAATTTGATTTTACATAAAAATACACCTTTTAGAAAGAAAAAAAATTTCGCTGTACCCTAATGTATAGCTGCTCTAAGTACATTTACATGTATAGGTGTCATATTTTACATTTGTTTATAATGGTTATTTATTGAGGTTTAACTTTTATTTTTAAATTCTAGTTTTAAATAAATAATCACCCCCCCCTCCCAAACATAATCTAATTATCTTATAAGAAAAAGGATAATCATTATAACTTTAAAAAACAAAAAAATAATCGAGATCTAGCACCAACAAATTTTACAACTTTGTCTAATAGAAGTTTAGTTTATTAACTTCACATCAATATTATTAAAATTTTATTATGAAGAAGTTTTTTGTGGGTTAAAATGACTACTTCATTTCTCAATCAGACAATCTGAGGTTTTAGTCGGACTATATTCAATGTCAAATCATTAAGAAACTGTTGCCCCCTGGAAGAAAATCCAAAAATGTTAGTACTATGATTGCATAAATATGTACAATTAATGTTGTAAAAGTGCTATAAAATAAAAGTGCTATATAAAAAAGAATGGCATAAGTACTACAAATGCATAGATAAATAAAATTAATGCCCTAAAAAAGTGCTATAAATAGAACTTATTATAATTATTCTATTGCCTGAAATAATTTATTTATCTCATAATTTTAATTATTTATTTATCTCATTATTTTAAAGCTCCTTAAAAATACTAATAACCATTAAAACTTCTTTATAATTCTAGATTTAATGAGAAAGCTAATGTAAAACTTATCTTCAAATAAAGTTTAAATTTGAAATAACTTATGTTAAAAATAAGTACAAATAAATTATGTTCAAATTAAGTTTAAACATAATTATAAGTTAAAACTTAATTAAATTTAAAAAATAATAATAAAAAAAAATAAAAGTTGCAATTTAAAATAAATCAAAAATAATCTTATTTCATCACTTCGAATTACTACTTGTAATTATAAAAGACAACGCAAATTTACTTTTAATTCTATTTAATGTTATTTTAGATAATTTTATTAATATATTATTATATAGTATATAATTTATTATATATATATATATATATATATATATATATATATATATATATATATATATATATATATATATATATTTATATTAGATAATTTTATTTAAAAAATCAAAATTTTAATTCAAAAAAATATATATACATTTTTAAAAATAAAATAATGCTTCATTGGACAAGAGCAGGCATCAAACTAAAGACATTTCAGTCCTAAAGTCAGTACTCTAATCATTGCTGCTAGAAGTTTAAAAGCATTACTACTGAAATATGTATTTAACTATTATATAAAGAACAAGTGTTTTATCATTTAAATAACTTTAGTTTTTATCTACTCTAAACTATAATTTTTATTATTGCTAGATATTTTCAAATTTTTGCAAAAGTTTTACTGCATTTACTCCTATGACAAAATCAGTTGAGAAAGCAAACTTGAGGGTAAAACTTCATAACCATGTTTTTTATGCTAATTAAATAATCAGGTCTTGTAATAAGTCTAGTTCATTAACAAGTTTTTTTATTAAAATAAAAATAGAATTAAAATATTTACATCAATATAGACAGCAACTAACCTTTTGAGAAATTCTTCAGAATCATTGTCATTATCTTCATTAGAGTTATTTAATTGAGCAAAAATATCTGGATTTGAAAATACATTTACTTCCTCAAACTTTTCTGAAGTTTTTTGAGTTTGGGCTTTTTGTGAGTTCTTGTTTTCTATGTCTTGATCATTTTTTCTTTCACAAGAAATATTAAATTGAATACTCTCTGTAGAAACATTATCTTTAAATGAACCTAGCGACTCATTACTTAAGTGTTTATTATTAGAAGTAGCAGTTAAAAAATTAGAATAATCAAGTTTTTCAATTTTTATATTAAAATCTTTCTTGGTAGATATAATGTCATTACCTTTATATAATAAACGTGCATCAGATTTTTTTGTTTTTACAGTTTCTGACTCATTTTCTGTTACAATATCATTAACCTTATTTGTTACAGTATTTTCAACTTGATTTTCCATTTCATTATAATTAACATCTGCTGTTACAGTATCACAAATCTTTTTTGCTGTTAAAGTATCATCAACATTATTCGGTGTTACAGTATCATAAATATTATTTGATAAACATTGTTTTTCTAACTTCTGACTATTAGCCAGTAATAAAGCTTCAGAATCAAACTCAGTGTCTATACTAATTTCTTGATTTGCTTTAACTTTGATCCCAGCATGTAAAAAAATATCACTGTCGTCTGAACATTCAACTTCATTAAAACCAACTTTCTGGAGATTGGGATTAAATGAAACTTTATCTGATTGTTCTTTGAGTTGAGCTTCCATTGTCTTACATGCTGCACAACATCATCACAGTAAATATATATTTGGGATTTGAAACTTAAAACAAATTATTTATTAAAAAAGTATACTAAACAAATTCATGAAACAACTTTTTTTTTTGCCTAAAAATCATATCAATACAAGTTTTTGGACAACCTGTATTTTTAAAAACAAATTTAATTATAAAAAACATTGTAAATAGTACTCTAAAAAATAATTTTACATATGAATAATCAATAATGTTTTTAAAAAACTTATTAGGGCATCTTAAAGCTATTAAAACCACATAAACTAAAAAACTAAAAGTAGACATTACTTTACAACACAGGGTGTTTACATTTATAGCTTACATTCAAAGGATGTTATTTAAACAATGCACCTTTTTATGGTCTTAATAGTTTTAAGCCGCCCTAATTAGATTTAAAATATAATTTAAGAATTTCTTATAGTAACATTAAAAAATTGAGATGTTTAGGTTGGAAGTCTTAGGGTTTCTTTCAAGGGAGCAGAGTCTCAAAAGGACTCTGGCTTTAAATCTCAATTTTTTCTTGGTCTCGGGTTGTTATTTGGTCTAAAAATGTGTGACTTATGATTTGCAATAAAAAAAAATTGATAAGATTTAATGATTTGAAACCCATTGTTTTTTAGCCCAGAGATTCGGAGTCCTGGAGTCAATGCCGTCATCATACATAACAAATCCGGATTTAAAAATTGATTATTCCTCAAACTTAAAAGTCTTTTTTTTTTTCTAAAAGTTGTCCATAATCTTCTTTACATTATTAGAGCTATAGATACCAAAAACCAGGAAGAAATAAACTTTTTTGTAAATTTCCTTTTTGGAACTCTACATCCTTGGTTTCTCTTATATATCCCTGTACATTGTATAGGCGCTAAATTACATCTTTACTCTCTATTTTTATTAATTATTATGATAGAGAATTTTATGCCGATTAAGATTCACATAAAAAATTGACCTGATAATAAAAGGAAAGTACTCTTATTTGATGTTAAAGTTTTATAAAAAATTTACCAAAAACGCTTAAGTTTAAAAAAATTTAATTGAAAAAAATTTGCCTAATAATTTTAGTTTATGATTATGACTAACACAAAACTAGCATTAAGCTTTTGAGCAGTTCTTTCAAACACATAGTTTTCATTTAGATTGACAAAATACTCAAGTATCTCATCAATACTTTGCATTTCTTGACTAACAAAGTGTGGCTTAGCATGAACGGTATTCTCCATTTAATCTTCATCGCACTCTGCACAAATTTTTTTGTTTTTTTTTCACTACTTACTGGATAATGCAATTACAATAATTTGGTGTGTTTTTATAAAATTCACACACCTACATATTGGTTTCAGTAACTATAGTGTAACTTCATGGATAATACAATAAAAACCAAAAAAATTTTATATATAGACACACTAAGAATATGTTTTACTAACAACTTCTTTTTACATATTTGAAAACCCTTAAATCTTTAACCATGAAAAAGGTAAACAAGATTATACCTTTTGCAAAAAAAAAAGGATTTTAAACAATAAAAATTTTAGTAAAATAAAGAAAAGTCTGCTTTTAGGTTTTTGGGCCAGGACAGCATTTAGGTTTTTAACATAGTGTGATTTTTATTCTGATTGAACATCACTTTTTGTAGAGCAATTTGTTTCGTATTTTTATTTTATTGAAGAATTTTATATCAAAATTACACTCAAGTTTTTTAAAAAGAGTAATTCTAACAAACTCTGTGATTACTAGTCATCAAGCAACATGCATGTTGTACATACATTGACTGACTTAAATAGGTAAAATATGCAGTAACATAAATTAGGAAAGGGTTAGTGTTGGCATTAAGATTGCCTGGTTTTTTAACTTTTCTTTTAATCTCATAATCAGTATAAAATTCTCTATCAAAATCATTATTAAAATATAGAAAAGGAGATGTAAATTAGTGCCTACTCCGTACATACATAAATACATACATACATACATACATACATACATACATACATACATACATACATACATACATACATACATACATACAAAATGTGCTAAAAAAACTTATTTAGGCCTAACTAAAAAAAAAACTATTGAAAAAAAGAAAAGAAATCTTAATAAAGAAGAAAATAAAATTAATTAAAATTCAGACTAAAACACAAATACTAAAACTAAAATCTTCTTGTACAGATTCTATATATAATAGTTTTCATATTTTTCCAAAAAACAACTCTCTTGTAAACTGATGCCTATTTATTATTGCAAGAAATTGATTCAAAAAGGTCAACACCTTATTGGATCATTTTCTTGCATCTGATGCTAAGCTCCAATATTCCCAGTTCACAAAATCTGGTATCTTATCTTAGAAATAAGAATCTAGAGACTTTAAGAAAACCTTCAACAGAGTTTTAAACAAAAGTAGGTCTAACATTCCATCTCTCATTAATAAGACTGATCTTATTTCTCAGGCTTTGTTTTAAAGAGTTACGCATAGAGTGATTTACATATGCCTTTTACGTAAGCAGTAAGTGATTTTGGTTTAGTGACTTTTTATCGTTTTTTAACTTTTAAATTATTCTATAAGCGGTAAGATAAAAGAAGTAATTAATTTTAAAAAAAGTCAAATTAACTTTTGAATAATGTTTTTGTGAATATGTTTGTTGCAAAAGCTTGAATGACAATTATGTTAGATATAAGCGCTATTTACTAATCAAAAAAACTCAAATAAAATGAAAAGTTTATTTTTATTTTATTGTAATGATTAATTTTTTTATTATGAGGCTGTCAGGGTTTTCAGGGGCTGTCAGGGTTGCAGGTTAAAATCTTTATTGAGGAGATTTTCAATTTTAATGTTTTATTTTAAAGTAGTTTTATGTTTTTACTATTTTTGGTATTTATTTATAGTTATACTTATTATTTATTTTCATCTTTCAAAGTTTCATAAAATAAGTGCATCAATGCATACTTAAATTGACTGATTTAGATGTAGTCACAGTGGACTATACTGACTTTAATAGAGATAGGCACTGTGGAGTGTAAATACATTGGCAGACTTAAATAGGCATAGGCGCAGTAGCCTGTACATGCATCGACTGACTTGTATAGAGGTAACGCAGTGGAGTGTACATACATCTACTGAGGGTTTAGGTTTGAGCATTTTTTATTCTTTAAAACAAAAGAAAAGTATATAAATATTTATTTAAATTGGGTTTATTAATTAGTTTATTTCTATTTAAAAAAATTAAAAAGTTAAATTAAACAAGAATTTTAGGTGAAATCGTCAAAATAATTAATAATAACTTATGTTTAAATACGTGCATACAACTTAGAAAAAATTAGTCGTATGCGCGTGCAAAAAATGCCTACCATATATATTATATATATAAAATAACACATACATATATATACATATATTTATTTGTTTATATATATATATATATATATATATATATATATATATATATATATATATATATATATATATATATATATGTATATATATATATATATATATATATATATATATACATATGCATATACATATACATATATATATATATATATATATATATATATATATATATATATATATACACATATATACATTTAATATATGTATATATATATGTGTATGTTTCTCCTCACCATCCTTTTTTTTTTATTGTTTATTATGATAGAGATTTTAATTATGATTTTATGCTGATTAAGAATTGTATAAAAACATAGGTCTGAAAATCAACAAAAAGTGCTCTAATTCGATCTTGAAGTTTAAAAAATTACACTAAAAAAATACCTAACATTCGCCATTTTTTAAAAACCTTTTACATCAAAGTTTACATTTTGAAATCGATTGTTAAGAAAATCTTTTTTTAATAACACGACCCGGTTTTATTGTCATCAAAATTAAATTAAAACTAAATGTTTTTAGGAATATACTTTATATATTTTTAATTAGTTTTTTAAAAATAATTAAATATATTGCTTTTTAAATGCACATAAATCGATGGAAAAATAGGAATTAGCGAAATTAAATATACACCCATCGACTGAAAAATAGGGATTGGTGCAATTGAATCTACATACATCGACTGGCAAATAGGGATTGGCGCAATTAAATGTTCATACATCGACTGAAAAATAGGGATTGGCACAACTAAATGTATATACATCGACTGACAAATAGGGATTGGCGCAATTTAACGCACATGATTTGGGACAGGATTAGGGTTTGGGCAAAATATAAACCAGAAAATGATGCGCTTAGCATTTTTTAACAGTTTTGCATTAAATTGTTGATAGAAACCAGGCTTTTTTAAAATCATCTTTGAAAAGAATTTTAATATAACCGAGAATTAAAAAAACGGTAATTTTTTTTCTTAACTTCAAGATTGAATTAGAGCACTTTCTGTTGATTTTCAGATCTATGTTTTTAAACGATTCTTAATCAACATAAAATTCTCTATCATAATCAACAATAAAAAAAAGGATGGGAGAAACTGCAGTAGCGCCTATGATATACATAAACAAACACATGCAGATATATGTATATATATAATTTAAATAATATATATTTATATATATACATTTATATATGTATATATATACATATATGTGTATATATATGTATATATATATATATATATATATATATATATATATAATTTAAATAATATATATTTATATATATACATTTATATATGTATATATATATTTATATATATATATATATATATATATATATATATATATATATATATATATATATATATATATATATATATATATATATATAATTTAAATAATATATATTTATATATATACATTTATATATGTATATATATATATATATATATATATATATATATATATATATATATATATATATATATATATATATATATATATATATATATATATATATATCAATTAAACTAATTTTATAATCGAACATTTTTCCATAACTTAAGTAGACAACAACAAACAAATAATGGTAGATGCAACGCGTAGCATCCCGGGAAATTGTAAGATTTAAACAAAAGCCATTTCTATTATCGCGGAATAAGACGCCGGCGTTTTTTTGTTCAT